TCCCTACACTAACCTACATAGGCAAACTGTTCCCAAAAAAGGAGAAAAAATCTCTTGGAAGGAATGAAGGTGAAATTTGATTAGATGGTCTGCTCAGAAAATGCTTTTTCCTGTTTTGAGAGTCGAATACTCTTAATTGAAATATTAGTATCTTGTGATACACACAAAACTGCGTTCTCATAATAGGAATGATTTCAGAAGCCATGGCAAAATCTCACTAACTACTACTTCTGCACTAGCGTGGGTTAGTATATAATTTTAATGAGACGTTTCAATTTTAATCACACGATGTTCTTTAAAACCAATTCAGACACTAATAAACAGACCACAGATTGGAGGATTAAAGCTGGCTAAGCAGGAAACTACTGAGACAACTGCTCTCAAGGATCAGTCAAGATTCGTGATCACAAGTGTAATGAACTTTTCAGTCAAAAAGGGTAGATGGTCGTCTTTTGTTTGTTTGTTTTGTATTTTTCCCCCCAAAGGTATGATATATAAAGGATATATTAAAAACAAAATACATCAAAAATGATTCTTCAAGTGTTTCCAACTCTTCAGAGCATCCCTTTAAGACATTCTCTCTCATATTGCAGGTGATGAGCAAACTTACACATTAACATACGTTAACGCATTAACATTACACATTACCACAAACTTACACACAAGATTCCAGTAAGGTGGGGTTTTTTTGGTTTGTTTGTTTTTATAATGAATTCCTATGTTTGGGTGTTATCCACACACTGTTAAAGAGATTCTCCATGTTATACTTCCAAATGGTATATAACCAGCCAATGTCCGAGGATAATTTAATCCATTTGCTTTCTAAGGTGACTCTCATCACAAAGAACTTGAGATTGGCAAATGAAGTTTCTCAAACTTTGCAGACATGCAACCCTTTTATTCTCACAGGACGCTCCTATCTGCCGCTCTCTCTCTCTCTCCCTGCCCACCCTTGAAATACAACCACCAGGTATTTCTCTTTGAAAAACAAATACTTCATTTTACAGCTAGCAAGCTGCTTGTAAAGAAACAGTTTATACTAATACCAGACACAGTTCCAGGTAAACTTGACCTTTCAATATACCACCACCTCATTTACCACCTCTTTGCTGAGAGAGCAGCAGTGCAGTTCCTTCTGCCTTACGGAGTGAAATGCAGCTATAATTATTGATTATAAAAAGTCTCTATCACACAGGAAACTGCTTATTGCCATTATTTACTAGCAACAGCTCAATTATTCCAGAGTGCTTATACCTGCAACTAAAGCTTAGCACTAATTTTTACTCTTCACCCTGATCCCAAAATGCTCTCATCTTCTCCGAAATGATGATCAAGAAGGTCTAAGATTTAGTTTTATCTCAGAGCCACTGCATGCAGTATGATAGGAGTCATACTTTACTTTGGGCTAGCTTTTTTGTTCATCCTTTAATCATTTTATTTTCTTCATATTTTCTACTAATTTAAGGATGCAGTACAGCTCTGGAAATTACTCTAGTGCTTTCCTGCCAAAGATTACAATAATTTCTTATGAAGATGTATATTACATTCAAGAATTACATTTTTTATTTCAGGTACAAATCCCAGCCCTGAACTATTACCATACACCTCTAACTTGGCAACTTTTCATTTTTCTTGTAGCATTATAGCAAAGGCAGACCTGTCTGGGGTTTTAGAAAAAAAAAAAAAAAAGGCACCATAGACCAAGTTGACTGTTCACCCTTGACTAAATTAATCCTTCGTAACTAAAGTTTTGTGTATTTTTATAATTTCTTTTGCAAGAGAGCAACACGATCAAGTGATCAAGTTACAAGACACAGAAAATACTGAAATGTCTGAGTACACTGGAGGTCCCAGCAAAAAGACCCAGATTACGTTTTAGCATTATTTGTCTCTTGAACCTGAAGATTTATTTCTTAGAAGGTGATTTTTGAAAATGCAACCCTTTATGCTTAACCAGTTGTTTCCCCTTTGAACATACAAAATTAAAAGCTTCTAAGAAGCTTCTACAGAAGTAGCCAATTTGTCTGTAGCCTTCTCCTCACACAAGGCAACAGTATCATGATAGAAACAGTTTGATACATACAGAAGAGAACAATATAATTCATTACAAACAAAACTAGGCAAACTTCCTACAGTTCAATTGTGTCTTTTTTTTAATCTTTTGCTTTAGAAACACTGAAAGATGAATGATGAAACTGCTAAGACACTACACCCATTACAATCTCTTTGTAAAGCTGGTTACAGAAAGAAGAGAGAACTAAGTGGAAACCTGAAAATAGCAAGCAAATATCTTCATTAAAGAGGAACATATCTTATAAATTATTGCAGAAGACTATTTTTCAGAAGGAGTATATTACATTGGCATTCTTGATAGTGAAAATTCTTCAGTTGAGCGCAAGCAAGAGAAATGTTTTTGAACTGTTTAGGTGGCAGAAAAAGAAATCTCTCAAATGCGTGAGAAATGAAAGGTAGATTCTCAAATGGAAACAGCAGATGTTTACCACTACTCAAAGAACACGGCAGATATCAGGAACAGTACAGAGTAGTCCATTTAAAGAATCTATTTTATATTTACAACAAATGCATGTTGACTGTACCATTTATGTTTTTTTGTACATCGAACCAGGAACCATTATTCCTCGAGGGGAAGAAGGCAATTAACGGTCCAGAATACAGGTAGGCCCAGCATGACTTGGCCAAGTCTGCCTGCTTTAACATCATTCATTACTCTATTGTCTAATAACTTACCTTTGCTTTTTCACTGGGTTCACTGGTTGTGCCATACGGAGTGTTATGCAATTCTTTTGAGACAACACACAGAAATTCAGCCTGATCTTCGTTGCCATAGTTATAGGAAGAACCAATACTAACCAGCTGAAAGAAGAAAAAAAAGTCAATTGCATTTCCACATAGAATAATTTCTATCAATTATCCTCATTAACACAAACACCCCTCATTCTTCAGACTGCTGACTGTGCCTGAAGCACGATTCTCCACTTCAATACAAATATATTTTAATATTGACAAATACGTTGACATTCTACTGCTAAGATAGACATAGTTTTTCTTTTAAAACATTTACAAATTGAATAGTTTAAGCTTATTTATGATTGCATTGTCAAAGAAGAGGCTACAGACGTAGGCCAGTGGAGAAGCAGCCTGTGTCCCGTTATTTCTTGGAAACCTTCCTGTCCTCCAAAGTTAATTTTTAAAAGGTTTGTATAAGGTGTCTCAATATGGTGTGATTTAACATGTAAATGGCTACATGCAAGAAGCAGTCTAGCCTAAAGAGACACCCACCATTTCACTTGCAGAATGATGGTCCTTCTATTGGAATATATTTGGAGTGGACAAAGCTGAAAACAGCGTTTGACTGGAAAATAGCAAGACACAGCATGGTGGGACACTAAGACTAACACTGGAAATTCATGTGTGCTCCTACAGGGAAGTTAGTTAAAGAAGCATTACAAGCAGAAGCCATGTATAATGAAATGTGACTTATTTACAAGCTTCTGGAAATCTCAATACTGAACGATAACAGTTTATAGAGAAAGAAGTATATGCTCAACACCAGTATTACATATGTATCATGTTTATCAACTGGTAGTTTTATATAACTTTCCTTACTTTACACACAGTACACTTGCCTAATGCTAGAAGTTTTACATAGCCTGCCTTCTTCAGACAGTATCAATCCAGACGTAGCTACCTTAGTTTTGTAAATGTTTATTTCAAAAGTATGACAAGATTATCTATGGTATTACAATTACTGACCCAAATCAAGAACCTAAATGTCAACCTGTTGCACAGACAGTGCATCTAAGTGTTATTACCACATCTACACTAAATCTACTTAACAAGCCACCAGAGACACATAAGGCTGTTCTACTCCCCATTCTTCAGTTCACATACTAATTTCCAAACCCTATATGACAGAAGTTATTAGTCCAAAATCCAGATCAGTAATCAGTCTCAATTATCTTAATACTGTGCCATAATTTTAGGTCCATAGAGAAAGCTGTCTAAAAGCAAACTGAGTACTTACATCAGCCTAGCAGAGCAAAAAAGAGAGTAAAAGACTTCTTAAAACAGAGAGGGTGCAACTGTAGGATCCATACTTGAGGGATAAGACTATTTTTCCAACAAGTGTAAACCAAGGTTAAAAGCAGCTTCCACGGAAGCACTGTCATGAGAGTACAAAGTCTCACGGCACTTTTAAGAGGAGATATAGGACAGAGATGCTCAGATACAATACTACAGTAGGACAGCCACGCAAGCATCTCAACAGATGGATACAGACCATGCGTACGAAGAGCAGTAGGCACTATTCCTACACAATGAACCAACTTGATGGCAGTTCTAGGCAATGCTGAAATTTTTGGACACGATGATCTTACAGTATCCTCCAAATCAGGCTTAAGTCCCCCTCTTCATTGCCCAGCCTCTACTCCTACTGTATCCTGCTCAGAGCTAAAGCAATGTTATTTACAAGGCCTCTCTTATTAGGGAGGGGGAAGTAAGAGCTGTTGGAGGAAATCTGAACGCTTTGCAGTCTCCACCACAATGTATTTGTCTGATACAAAATCACAAACCCCATAAAATAACAGTTGCTTAGTTGCACAAAATGGACTAAGAAAGTCTACCATGGGTGAGAAGCCAATCCAGAATTACTTAATTTATAGAGATGATTTGTTGATTCTCTTCCCTATCAGCAAAAAGTATTGTACACAAATTTTTAGGAAAAAAAAAAAAGCTGCTCAATTAGCTCTAAGTCCATTAAAGCAGCACAAAATTTAGATTTAGCAATATACAAATATATCACTATATGTCTGCATTATATAGCAATTGCCAACTATATAATACAATTACAATAATTACTTCAATTCTCAAGGCGAAATGTAAGGAATATTTTAAATGGTATTTTTAACTCATTTAAAAAACAAAATAATAATAAAAAGTTGGATAGGTGTTTAAATAAACCCCCAAAATGTATCTTCACCTAAGGGAAATTTGAAAAATAAAATTCAAGCATATGATTTAGTTAATAGTCACCTTTTTTCTTGTGAAATGGCAAGAATTGTATAGCAGATAAACTATGATAATTACTATAGTAATTATACTACCAGAAGGAGGAAAAATTGGACTTCACTCATTGACACTCAACACAATTACATGATCTCCCTCCAAAAAAGATACAATACGAGCCTTATTATCAGCCAAATCATGAATCCCAATTTTAACAATGAAAGGTATTGAGTAGATAGCTACTTAAAACCCTCCATTCATGCTTTAGTTGACCTTTTGGGCATGACTCTTTTTAGGAAGCATGGTAAGCTATTAGCTAAACTGTAGGCTGCTAGCTAGCAGAATAAAAGCTATTAATTTTTCTGGCTGTGGTAAGTCTGGACAACTTTTTTTTTTGATATTATTAAGCAGTTGGTGCCTTTGAAAATACAGTTCCCTTTGTAATGTTAAGTAACATTTATTCAAAATTCAGTTTCACTATCAATTCCATACACCTACAACTGAGAATATATTACTTGTATAATGTCAATAGTATGCTTGAAACTGTTGTAGCTTCTTGAGATGCATCAGTAGCAGAAAGGGGAAAGGCAGAAAAAAAGCAATGGAAAATGGTTGCAACTTAGAACTGAATTGTAGTGCCAGAAAATAACAATTAGAAATGAAGCGATTTTATGCGTTGATATTCCAAAAGTCATCTAGGCATTCCCAGTATCGGTAAGCATGCTTTGAAAAGGATGCTGAAAAATGACAAGTTGTTACTTAATTAAAAAACAACAATAAATCAGAGTAATCTGAGGTCTGCATGTAAAGCATGTATTACAATAAATAGCAAGAGGCTCTCAAGTTATCCAGCCCAGCGTGCCTCAAACTTTCGGAAAATACAAGCCTTTTCTGGCTCATGGGTCCTAAGCAGCAGAGCTCTAGCGACCAAGAACTTAAGGGAAAAAAATTATGGATTTGGGTGCTATTTATATGTATTTTTCCTCTTTTAATGTCTATGATATTTCATTATACTTTTTACTAACACATGGTGATCCTTCTTGAGGCCCCTGTGAGCTCCAGTTGTGCCCATAAGTGAGTATCGTTATGTTAAATATCAAGAAAATTCACTTGATTGAGATCTATTAACTGTTTGTGTAGAATAATGTTCCTGACACTAGTAGGCTGAGAGCTGCAACTAACAAAGGCAGTGATGGAAAGCATTTAAGTATTTTTTTTAATTAACAGAAATAGAGTTATTTGCATTACATTGAAGATAGAAACAAGTGGAAAGCTCCTGTCCTCAAAAGCTTGAATTATAAAGTAAGATAAAAGATAGTCATCAGAAAGGTCCAAGGAAAAAAAATGGCCTAAGTGATGATTGACAGAGACCACCTTATTTTCAGGCTTGTTTTCAAGAAAGTAAAGAGTTAGTAACGATTTGGGATACAATAATGAAGAAATTTTTGAAGATATTTCCCGAGTCTGTAAGAAAAAAGAATGCGTTTTTAAAATGTAAGAAAAGCAGACAAAAATTGGTATAGCTGACAGAACAATTCAACTACAAGTAAATCATTCCTGCATGAAGTTATCCAATGGCAGCAGAATATATAAATCTCCTCCAGTCCTACATCAATGACTGCACACCAGAAATATCCTTATGAGCAGGCTCTACCTGAACAAAATGGTTGGTGCCTCACCTTACTTCTGAAGCGAACAAATCTTATGCCTGCTTGAATGCCAGAACTAGGTCTCAAAGCCAGTTACATTTGATAGCTTTTTTTTTAGTCCAGAATCTACATACCACTTCAACTTTCACAAACAATGTGTTTCCTACCTGCCTTTGCCTTCTTACCACAGGAGTTACTTAGAGTAACTATCCCTTCTACTTTCTGACTACTAATGTCCTCCTTTCTCTGAAGGTCTGATTCTCATACCAGGGAAAACTCAAAATTATTTTCAAATTTTATTTAGCTTAGACAATTACTGCTTCTATTTCAGACCTGGAGAACTGCTTGTATATTGAAATGCTCATCCTTTTATTATACTAATAATAGTTGACAGAACAAAATAAATTAGTTCTCTCTTTTTTTTTTTTTTTTTTACCAGATCAAGTTATATAATATAAGAACAACCTCCACTCCTTAGAGCTATATTGTCTTCATTCCATTGCCTTTTCAAACAATTTGAAAAAGACTATTAAAATATGTACACATCAGCCTTTAAACTTAGCACTGATGACTGACTGAGGACTACAAACACATCGATTTCAAGTCTCTTATGGATGAAATTTACCAACTGTCAGACCTCAATCGTAACAGGAAGGAAAGTTTATTCCTTTCTAGAATCTTACAGATTTTATATTGCCTTCATTTTTTTCCTGCCTTCTGCAATCTCCCATTTGATTACTTAGAATTTTACTTCATGCTCTCTAGGACAACATCATGGTGCCTGTACCCTAAGGCATCTTTAGAAATAGCCCAGGTACCCTTCTTAGTTCCAAGAAGCTGACAAAAACATTGCATTAACTCCACATTCCAAATTGTACCTATACAATTGCAAGAAACAGAGCCTCCTTAGTGAGTTGAAAGTACATTTCAGAAGATACTTAGGCAGCAGTTTAGGTTTAAAATTTAGAATTGCATGACTTAGTGACCATGTAAACATAGGCATGTTTCTGCTCACAGAGCCACTTCACTGACATGTTATCTTAATGATGTTTCACTAGCTTCTCAGACTGAAAAACATGTAGCAAGGAAAATAAGAAGTTTTCTCTGAATATTTTTCTAACAGAAAATGCTACAAAACACCAGTTTCCCAAATAGATGCACATAAGGCACTTCAAAATGACGCACATCAAGGTAAAGAAATGGGTACTGCTTTCAGTGTTACTGCTTAGCAAAAACAACCCTCCCTGGGAAGTAACACAGCAATTTAAAGAGCAACAACTTGGTAGTGAGGGGAGCAGAAAAGATGAGATAGCCTAAAGAACAAGTGGGTGAGCTTACTATTCTTAAGATTTCAAGAAAGTTTCCCAAGGAAAAGAACAGCATATTTTCTCCTCTTGATAAGGGTTTTAAAACAAACTGCTGTTTTTGTTCTCCCCTCCCTCCTGTGCCTTTTCAGAAATAGAGAACTTAGTCAAAATTTACTCGGTTATTAGATGTATGAAACATATTCAAACTAAAACAATAAATACCAGAAATGTCTTTTTTTTCCCTGAAATCAGTGAGCTCAGAGTTACATTTGCACAGCTCCTGATGTTTAAACTGTACATCTTTTACACAAGTACGGATCAAAGGCTGTTAACTTTGGAGGAAGATATAAGAAGATAAGGATTCTTATTAAGAAAAATCATTGACTCAAAAGTTTAAATAACTACGATTTTTTTTTAAACAACATGAACATTTATGATGAGTAATGAAATACCATGAAAATAAATAAAAGCCAGTCACAAACACACACAAACTACTATGTGCTGTACACCCAGGAATATAGTGGAATGATTTGAAAGCAGCAGAAATGCAAGGAGGCCAAGCATATTGGTGTGAGGGCAAAAAGAACGGTGTGACACACCTCACTGCAGCATTTCTGGAAGCATCTCTCTTCCCCTTTCACTTCCCGTGACACTATCAGCAGATACTCTGCCTGCTGGGCCCGACCACAGCCATACTGGGAACCTATACTGACAAGCTGGAATAACCAATCAGAGCAAAACAAAAAAAGAAACCTTTGTAAAGCTGAAGCACAGAACCATTACCCACATTGTACAAATAACAAATGAGCTCAAATGTTCAGGTAATATTTACTTGCCACTAGAACAGATTGCTATCAAGCCACAACTTTAATCCCAACATACTTAGATTTTTATGGAGGCAGTTACAAAGTCCTTTTTAACTTCAAGGCAAGTCAGAGTTACTGACAGTAAATCAGAAAACTCCCAATACCATTGTGAAATTGCCAACTATTCTGAAAAAAAAAATCTAAACAAAAATTATGAAAGCACTATTTTCCTGTCATACACACCAATTGCAGAAGGCAGCATATAGATAGAAGACCATAAGATGTTACATAAAGCACTGAATCCAGTCTAGGTATGCAAGAACCTTGTCTTGTTCCAGATGCTGGTAAAGCAAATATAGCTATGGGAACGTATGGTCAATTAGAAGAAAAAGTTGAGAGTTTATAAACTGTTTTTAAAAGGGATAATTTACAGAAGAACCAAGACAAGATCTCTAGCGTAAAACATTGTCTGTCTTGTTTTCAAGAAAGTCAATATCAAGAAATTTGTTCATAATTGCCAAATCACTAATTATCTAGAAGTTCAGAACAATGTTAGTTAAATTTCTTAGCTTCTCATTACAAAAAGTATTTTATCTTAATAATATGTTGCAATGTTTAACCCAAATTAAAGCACAGCCTGGCAGTGCGCTTAAGATCAGAGCTTTCAATTAAGAACTGGACAACGAATGCCTAAACAGAGTACACTTTAGATTAGTGATGATGAAAAGGCTCATGATCAGTGAAGTTATTTACATTCTGCTACTGTTACATGGATAATTTTGAGGGGAGTAGCTAAATACTGTCCTCCTCAGGTATTTAAGACAGCATTGTAGTACCAGACTCAGGCTACATTAATCATTACATTTATATTACCTTATATGACAGGCCTATCTAAAACCTCTGCATTTAGAAATTCTGTATAACCCACAGTTTCTTATTAAGCAGTAATGCCAAAATCATTATTTCCAATTTTCCTGCGGAGGTAACAATTAAGGCTAAAGCCATCTGCAGAATAATTCAATGAAATTTAAAAAAGTGGGGCAGTATAGCCACTTTTAAATACTTTGTTCAAACAGAGAATATTTCTTTGGGCTAGATTTTTGACTGAACTGATATATAATCATAGTTTGCTAGCATTACTTTCACTCATTTATCTTCTCTGGGAAAGTATGCATCCTTGCTAGGGTATCAGAAGTTTAACACGCTCTTGTTTAATTATCATACCCAATTGCATTTTAAGAAAACATTTTCAATTGTTCTGAGGGAAAGAAACATTTTTAATCAGAATCAACCACAGAAACATGTTACGTGGGCCGCAGACCACAAGGACTCTCAAATCACAGAAAAAGTCTTCTCTGAGAAAGTAGGTAACTTCTCTCCCACCAGTGATATATATACTGCATGGTAGGAGCCATCACAGAGATTACTTCTGGAGAACACTGCTAAGTAAGAAAGATCTACTTAGGGGAAGAAAAAAGGAGGAGAGAGGGGAGAGGGGAAAACAGAGAGGGGAGAGAATGACAGAAATGCCACCCTGCTCTCAAATATTTACAATAAAACAGTCTGGATGATAACAAATATTCTAATCATGTTGCAAGTGAATGATATCTACTAAAATCAGGCCTGCTATACAACCAAAGCAGAGAATGACATAGATTGAGGTAATGAAGTTGAATAATAAGGGACCATACATCTGTTGTGTTTATCAACCTCAAACTACACACTCAAGTGAGAAAAATGTGGGGAAGAGAAAGAAAGAGAAAGCTAGATGAAAGAAGGAAATAGTACTCAAAAATAAAAAAAATAAAAGGGGAATTTTCCCAAAATGCAAATTCCAAAAGGGGTTGTAATAGTTCTTTCTACAGTTGCACTGTCAAAACAATATTACTCCCAAATACAATACTCCCCCAAAATACAAGTTTTTAGGACAGGTAAAAGATATAGTACTGTTTAATCAGTTAATAAGTGAAGAATCTCCATTTCTCATGACTAAGAAAGGCCCAGGAAACTTTGTCAATGCATTGGTCAAAAAATGGTCATGTGAATTAAGTGAGTGCTTTTTTCAGTGACCTAAACAATATTTAGCTCTAGCATACCAAATAGATCTTTAGTACTTGAGGCAGGAAACTGAAGCATAAGAAGTTTTCCATGTACTGGGGTAATTTACTTGATCATGGCCTTTTCTATGACATGAGTCCCTTACACATTCCACTAAAAAACAAAATGCTCTCAAACATATTTGTGCTATTTTTTTCATGTCACTTTGTGGTTTTATTGGGAGACAACTGCAGAGGATAAAAGGTTTGTGTTTACTCCATTCTCTCCTACCAGAGAGGCACTAGTCATTGAGAACAACATTTGTTGGGCCCTTGTGTCTCACTCGAGAGTTAACAGATTCATTGTTCTGATGCAATTTAGATATTCTGGTAAGTTATGATCATGAAGGGCGATTATGTCATATAGCTAGTTTCTTATTTACAGTGATTATCAAAGATAATAACAGAAACTACAAATTATTCTTACAATTTATTCTTCAATATACAAACATATATTTATGCAGTGCAGAGAAGGAAAACATTTACACAGCTCACATCCATCCAGCTTCACAGTTGCACTTATTAATTACTCCCTCTGATGGGTATCAGTCCTTTTCCAAAAGAGCCATTGTTTGGGCCTAAAACACATTTATTTTCCATGATCCTCTTTTAACAGGAGGTCTTTATATCTGACCTACCATTAGCACGTACTCATAATAGGAGGGTCCAGCCCTTTGGTTTATTCAGCTTTCAAACGTTCCCTTGTAAACCCTTAGGAATTACATTTGAAACATGCTGTAGATGTTTTTCTAGAAAGTCATCCAAGCAGAACTCCAGGAGACCTACAGATCTTGTGTTTTCTAACAAACAAGCATACAGATAGCAGATTTTAATTTAAATACATATCTTTTTATCTGTCGAGTTTCTGATGAGAATTCTAATTTTAGAACTTTCTGATAATATTCTAAAAAGAACAAAATTTACTTTCTACTCTTCTTTCCAACCATAACTGCACTTTTTGGAAGACTTTGTAATTACACCCTGTATGTTTTTGTTACCTGTTCAAATTTCCAGCCATCAGACATTGTGGAGACCATCTGAGTGAGCTCCTCTTCCTGGCACTGCAGCACCCTGTACACATGCTTGACTGGCACCTTCAGAAAGAAATATAAGACACTCAATACAGAATAGAATTCACCATCTTTGTAACTTATCTGAAATCTCTCTCATTCTACAGAAATAATAAGCAGCAACACCTTGAAGAACACAAGATCAGTGACTGCTTATTCCTCAGTTATGCAAGTGTTATGTTTTAGGCCAACAATTCCTTTCTTAATTCTGGGTTCAGAATCTTGCAAAGAATCTGCAGCTCCAGAATATCCTGAAGTAAGATGCAGCTAGGAAATTTTTATTATTATCGTTTTTGTTGTTGTTGTTTAGTTACTGTTATTATTAGAACTTGTGGAAATGTGATCTGTTCAGAATGACATTACAGAAGATTCACATACAGTAATGCTACATGAATGTTTCGGGGATGTAAAGAGATAAGTTATGCAAATATTTTAGTACCCCAAATACATATACTCATCAGTTATAACAAAATAATCTTAATACTTATTTATAAAGGGATGACCTTCCTACAGTGTTCCAAAAAGTTCAGACATAGTGCCTGCAAAATAGCAAACCGTATCATTAACACAGGCATCGAAGCTACTTAGCAGAGACTTAGCAAGTTTTCTAGTTTTATGGACTGCCTGACTCTATTCTAAAACGTCTTTTATTCTCCTCTCAAAACTTCCACTCCAAAGCAATAAGTAGAACTTTGTCAGCTTTTAGAAAATGCTAAGAGCAACTCTGTTACCCCATGACACAGTCTCAAGAGAAATTGGCAACAATAACAGTTTGTAGTATCTTCATGAGGATCCAGTAACTGGAAAAGGCCAAAGCAGAAGAGTTGGAGAACCATCACAAACTTGGCCACTTTTCTTAATTAACAGTTTCTCTGTTATATTCACTTCATTATTATGAAGACATATTCATGAGCTGAATTGAGGCTGTCTTCTCAACTACAGGTCACCACAAATAAAAAATAACTTTACTACAAAAGTGTGCAATACAAGCTAGAAAAAGAAATACGCAATAGACTGTATTAGAAGAGTGATTTGTACATACACTATCAACAGAGATTTGAAGAAGAACTGAAAGGATAAAATCTTGGGCCACTGCAGTATACATAATAATGTTTTAACCTGTAAAGTTTTCTTAACTCAACTGCAGTCTAATGTTTGAGGATGTATCTACTTCCATTGGGAAGTGGCTTGAAAGAGGCAGACATCAAATACCCTTCCTGCTATAGAATAGTTTATTTTAGGTAATAATGCTCCAATGGCTGAATGTATCCATTTCAACTCTGGATAAGATTTCGAAGATAGTAGTTATGCTACAGCTAGGCAATCTTTTCATACTCAGACTATTTAGAAGCATATGAGAGTATTACATGCTACCCAACCTGTTTTCTAAAATGACTATTTCCAGAAATAATATTGCGATAGATGCCAATATCATTAGATATTTTTTACCAATTCTTCATAATGTTTTCAGATTTTGAAGAACTAGGGCTCGTGCCCTACATGCTGCCAGGTACTGAAGGTTAGAAACATCAATCTTTGTGTACTAAAGGTTCCAGCTCAGTTTATGAAGGAGACAGCCATTTAGTGTCTCACTAGGGAAAAGAGCAGTTAAATGCTCTTTTCTGAGCATTCAACTCATCCACTGAACTCATCCACTACTTCCCATAGAACAAATAATCAGAAGCACAGTAGAAAATAACCTCACCTGTGAAATTTTGCTGTCTCTTTCTCTTATTTTGTCCTTTACCAGTTTTATTAGTGATGTGATGTTGTAAAATTCAGCCTCTTCCAGTACACCTAGTATGAGAACATTTTTTAAAAAGAAAGTGTAAACAAAGGTACCAGGCCAAAACCACCAACCTGTTCCCCCAAATCACTACAGGTGTAGAAAATGATTTATTTTACAAGCTGGATTCAGACCCACATATTTCAAGGCTTAGATCATTCTGAAGAACTGTCCTAGGAAAAGTCTGATGAAAACTGATACCATTTCACATACAGCATTAGAGGCAAGAAAGAAAGAGCAAAAAGGAGCAGAAATGCCATTGCACAGCAGACTGATGGACCATCATAGTTCAGGTCCTGTCTCAGGCAGAAATCATTAAGAAAAATTCAAATACTCTACTGAATAGCTCTGCAACAGCCAGCATGCAGAATGTTGTTCTTCATAGCTCTCATTTGAGATCTTACACCCTGAAAAATATCCTAAAAATTCTGACTGCTACAGTACACTACAGTCTGCACCAACTTACATGTTCAAGCCTTATTTGTCCTCCTTTACCCATACTGTGTGTTTAGCAATGCATGTTCAAACTATATTTCACAATATTGACTGCTAATATTGTTAGACTGTAGTTTTCTTTGACCAATTTCTTCAATATCTTATCAGCACAAGCCTTCTTACTACATGGTTTAAAAGTCTTCCTCAGTAAAACTGATACATTGGAGTCAGACAGGAAAAAGCTCAGGGAAGAATTTACTGTTTGAAAGTGTATTTCACACCTCTGAACATCTCAGAACTTCACTTATTTTGCTTTACATCTTCTAAAACCTGTTTTCCAGCCAGCATTCTTTTGCTTGAAGAGGACTGAAAGCAACTATTTCACAGGGTTGCACAGGAAATACGCAAGATCATATAAAGAATCTGCCCACATGGTTGAATACTCATGCTTTTCTTCCAATTAGGGCCTGCATCTGTACTTTTGAAATTAAAATCATACTCAAAACCTTCAAATAACAGTATGTAGTAGAACTATGGCATACCAATCATCTCTACCTGAAAACAATTGAAATGCTAAACTGAATAAGATTAACCAACAGATGAGTTGCTATTTGGTTGTTTTTTTTTTTTTTTGACTTGCAAAATTCTGAGAATGAAAAAGTGGAGGAAAAAAAAAAACGCAAGAGAATTAATATTGTCCTACCTTCCTCAGCTAGGTCCTTGTTAATAACCAGTTTCCCATGTCTGAGATAATTCAGCACTGGCCCAAAGTAGGTTGGGTCTCTGTCTATTAAATAGGCACCTGTTTCATCCTATATTCAAAGAAAAACAAACAAAACAAAACAAACACACAAAACATACACAAACACAGCCAGAAAAGCATAATGATTTGAATGCCCAAGCAGGTGTTCAGATACAGTTATGATACTTAAAATCAAATTTAAATCATTCAACAAGGTATATATCAAACCGGTCACTGAAAGAACTTATCACCTGCTGGATGACTCCACCTGATCAATAGCCCCCTATCAAGAGAACGAGCATGACTAACAGCACAAAAAGGAACAGAGATAAGTGCTCTCTCATTAAAACACCCAACCATTGTTAGTATGAAAGATATAAGCAGTAAATGAGAACACTGAGAAGTAGGCTTAAAAGCAATACATAAAAGCAAGGAACTAACATTTCATTTGGAGAGCTGAAGAGTCAGAACAAAGATATCCCAATGAGGTTCACAGGCTGGCTGTCTTCTATTTTTTTTTTAAATTAAAATCAAACAAACCTACCTTTTCTTTTTAACTTCAACATTTTGTTCTATTTTTTTTGTTTCTGTCTTATCTCAGAAGTACAAAATCTAAAAAGGTACTGAGGACAGCTGCATACCAAGCAGTGGCTCTAGATTCAACTTCTAAATAAATAAAAGCTGCAATTCCTACCTCATGCAAACAGAGGAAGAACAGACCAAACTGGAACTGGATTCTCAGTTTACTGAATGTAATAAAGCATTCAACGGAATACAGAATGCAATTCAAGATGTTCTCCTAGTATCTGACATTACTGACAAGGAGATGGAGAAGCAAAACTTCTTTCTTATAAAATTTGAAGTTTAAGTGTGATCAAGTGTGATCAATGCAGCACCGGCATATCTTGTGTTGACCAGAATTTAAGGAAGATGATTGGTAATGCAGATGTCTAACAGATCCATGAGTCCTTCTTACTATCAAGTGGATCACATTAATCCTTTAGTTCCTACAGTTTCACTGTAATAGATACCTTACAAATAAAAACTGTACCGTTGTGGCAGCACCTGCAAATATTTTTGTTTCTTTTAATATTCTAGTAAATTACAGGAGACAATCAGCAGCTTCAATGCAAAGAATCCTAGCTAAATTTGAATCATTCTCTCTCAGAGCTATATGTGATACAAGAAAAATTGCACTGACCCAATCCCCTGCATTTGGAAGTTAACGTTGATATGTAAACATCTGATTACTGAAACTGTGATAACTGAAAACTCTCCTTACTTAAGTAGATGTACTTTCACCAGGGGAAAAAAAAAAAAAAAAAGACTGTAGATACAATTTCAGGCATGCAGATCTAGTTTCTGGAAAGCTGTGTTTGTCTTATCAGGCTTATCAAAAACTACATCACAACCTGAACTATCCCAAAAAAACAAAACAAAACAAACACAAATAATTAAGTGAATAACTAAGTGAAGGGATGCTACATTTTACATAAAACTCACTATTTTAATCTATGAAGACATTCAAGGAAATGTATAAAAACGTCCTGACAGTTAGCCTATACTCAGAGCAGACACAGTTTCTTCTACAAGATAAACTCAGTCTCACAGAAGTGAGACTATGCACTAGTCTGTGCATCAAAACCAATAGATAGATGACATTCATAAAATGGCATTTTTTAAATGCTTTCTATTTAAATATATTTACATTATCCAAACACTTCAAGAATAGATGATCTACAAACATAACCTAAAGAAATTAAATTAGTTGATTATTGTATAAACTATAAACTGAAGTGCACTATTTAATACAGGACTAAAAACCAGGTAAGTTATAAATGAAGAACTAAAATGGATTAAAAAAAAAAAGATTTTAGTCAACAGTTTGAAACAATTTAAGAAATACATGGACTTACAAAAATCAAAAGTGATCTGAATTAGAACTATTTTGTTCTCTTACACTATGGTGTTTTTCTCATATCACTCTCTGAAGCAATATTGCCTTGGGTTTTGACTTGACATTAGAGATAAACAGGTGGAACACACAGAAGAAAAACACAGAAAAGTTTAAGTGAAACTTCAAATAACAACAGTTCCTTCATTCCTTGCACAAAAGACATAAAAATCTTTTTTTTTTTTTTTGTGCATATAAGCCATAGCATCTGAAACTATTCCTAACAGAGTAGATTCTTCTACACTAACTAGCTGCCAACAAAACTTATCTTTTCAGAAACAGAAAAGGAACAAGCTATGTCAAGCCTTCTCTCTCAATTCTCACCTAATGATTGGCCATCAGCAACCTGTATAACCTGAGTTAATTATCCTAGCGTACACAAAGCCCATTAAGAGCACCAAACATGCTTATGCCTACGGGCAGCATCAAGTCTATGAAACATTAGACATAGGGTTAAAACAGCCAGAAGATAAAAGCAACTTTTCTCATCATGCACAAACTTTTTTTCCATTCTACCATTCATCACCTCATTTTCTCTCCGCTATTATATCCATTAATTTCCTAACCAAGAACCAAGAATAATTATCAATGGCCGAAGTTTAAAAACTGTTAACTTCACAGAGCGGGCAATTCAAATTCTGTCAACAGCAGAGATTGGCCTTAGTATAAAAATTCCATGCAAAATTATGAAGAGACTAAAAAATTCAGAATAACTGGCTGCCCTCTTACTTAGCTTACAAATATGAAAAAAATGCATTCATAAGCATTATCCCAATGAAAAATATATGTGGCTTGGACTTTATTCCTATAAACTCCCAGGTACCACAAACTAGTGTCAGAGAGTCAAGACTCAAGACGCAAACCATTTGATAAAGCATATCATAACCATACACAAAAGATGCATGGCTGAGAGGCATAAAACTGACTTCCTAAACTTCTTTCTGCAGAAAATACCTTCTCGCTCCTTTAGAGCAAGCTGCCTTCAATGTTCTTCAATGTGCACTGAGTACTTGATGTTGAAATCTCTCCAAGAAAAGCAGCTTACACTAAGACTTTAGGGAAATGTACACAAACATAAATCAGACCCTCTAATACTGCAGTCACCTGACTCACCTAGAGCTCTCAAAGTATTGATCATAAGAGTGCTCGTTCCACACCTTCAGAATATTAGGTCAGCACTGGCTTCATCCACGTGCAATGAAAACGCTTTCATACTCCCATGTGCAAACAGTATTTTGAGGAATCTTTCTAAAACAGTTTTAAGACGAGAGAATAATACACTTCGTACATGGCCCAGACAGTTCAAAAGTGTTACTACTCTTTGCGTAGACATAATTCAACCAGCTTTAAGCTTGCTAGCTTGAATGTTAATTCTGTATAGTCCCACCTTTACCACTTTATTTGCTAATGACTTAAGTATGATTCCACCAGCTTTGGGCAAATTTGAATCTTCACTCTGTCACAACCAGAGCAGGTATTTCGGATTTTTACCTCCCAACTTTCACAGTTGCCAGACCAATCTGTATGGTCTCAATCTTGTTTCTTGTAGATATACTCTCAGTATTCACACTGGCAAGTCCTAGCTCAAAAGCTTTTCTCCAATATATGTCCTAAAAACTGATATTATTTATATCTATTTGTATTATTTATATCTACATTGAGCAAGCAGAAGTTCTGCTAGTGGTAGTGATATGCCCTTTAAAACAGAAGTATTTGGCACCTTAATTTAGGACCCTGATTCAGGATCTAGAAACAACTTTTCACTGGCTATCCCACCTTACTTTGAGCTAGATGTCCAGAACACAATATTCTCAAAAGATGTGCAGTTGTTCCAATGCCCAATTCACAATTGTTGTATTGGTACTGATCAAAACTGCACTTATAACACAACACATGCTCACCCAACTAGTCAGAAGTTCCTTTAGAAATAAACATTATCTTAGTTATATCTTAAAATAGTGACTACAATTAGGGTACTTTTCTTTCTCTGATTATTTAGCACTAACGGTTCAGGATGTGCTGCCAGGAAGATCCTGTTTCTTTTTCTTAATATTCAGTGCTTCCTTTCCCCTTCCTTAACAGATTATGCCTCACTACAATCCCTAACTTTAGAAAGACTTCAAAAAAAATAAAACGTGAGCACTGATGCCAAAACTATTAAAAACAGTCTCTTGATTTGACAAAAGTTTAAAGAATGATAAAACATTCTGCAAAGCAAGAATCGGTATTCAAAGAAAATAAGAAGGTACTGAAATCAGCAATTATCTACCAGTAAATCAAACAATACAAATATTAGAGAAGTTAAACAAGGATGAAAAATTGAGCATTGTTTTCCAAGTACTCAAACGCTGCTTGTTTATTTTTGTGTGTTCATCTCTAAAATAAGGTCTAAACACTGAACATAAATGCCATTGTGAGTAGTAGGTATGACTGCTACCACTTACGCATTTGTTGAAACGAGTAGTTCTTGAATCCTCCTCTTAAACTGAAAGACACATATCATTTTGTGAAACACATGGCACTGAGATTCAACACCTCACAGCCTCATTCCAAACACTACTAAATTTACCAAGGCGTGCCCATATTAACCTTCCTTCTGTTGCAACCGGAAGCAGACCTAATTCTAGAAAACAGGCTGCATGGCCTTGCTCAACATTAACACCTGTAGATAATTTGATGACAAACATGATGCCTTTCTTTAAGCCTTTCAACTCTTTTTAGAAGCAAGAATTGAAGAAATATTATGATTTATGTAGCTAAGCAACAAAAAAGTGTACAAATAACAGCAGAGAAAAATCACTTTATACACCACTGACATTTATAAAGCATAATCTATGAGTAGAGTCATATTTCAGTTTCCTATCCCCACTGCTAACAAACCCATCTAGTTATCCTCTTTTATAACTTCTTAACGTACCAGTGCTATCAATTTTTACATGCTTGACACATTTAGGTAAAGCCAGCTCTCTTATTATTATATTTTGATACAGATATATTCTCATATATATTCTGAGATACTTTCCAAAGCAAAAAGGAATGTGAATCACTTTTTTTCCTCAAAGACAAATATTTATTGGTGCATGAAGTAATTTAATTGTTCGCTCATCTTGCTCTTACTCCTAGATACGCAATCTCTCTCTCTCCCTTTTGTCACTTGGAATAACATTACAACTTTCAACAACTTTTTCAACTGACTTAAGTACAAAAAACAACACCCCTCCTCTATTTTCTGCTGACAGCTTTCAAGTTTAGAAGTAGGTGTTTAAATCTCTTATGATCTTTAAGAGGAAAATGCAATGGAATCAAAAACAGGGAATCATAGTTCGGAGACCAGCTCTAACATTTCAGGTTTTGAGAGCAGGATCTTAGTATTTTAGCTGCCTCCTTGAAAGAGCTACTGTTTTATGAGCACAAAATCACACTGCATAGCACAGTTGCCATGATCAGCCTTTAGTACACGGTTATGAGATAGTACATCTAAGCGCTATCAAGTTACAGCTCTTAAAAGGATCCCAATGTGAACCTAGAGGAAAAAAAATCCATCTCTACCAGGTTTTGATTTGCATAAATAGGGTTAAAGAACTGAATCTGAATCCAAGATGTGTACATAAACATCATGAATAATTCCCTTGAAATATCTGTGGTCATCAGTTGGAGATATTTGATATTTCAGAACTAAATCAGACAGTTATTGTATAAACATGCTATTCTATCAAGATACTCTCCACAGTTTGGTGAGGTGTCCCTTAAAATGACATCTACAATATTGGAGAAAAAGAAAATAAAAATAGAAAAAAAAGAACTACTTGAATAATTATTTGTGCTTTTCAAAAAACAAAGAGTCTAAAGGCAGATTCTGAATCAACCCCCTAAAGGACAGATCCCATGCATTTAAGTAAATTTAGGCATAAGTATTAATACAGTATGATAATTAGACTAAAATATAGACTTACTCTCTGTGTCTGAAACTCAGACATGACAGTTGACTACAGAGAACAGGTTCTGAATGAAGTGAAAAACCAGGAACTGGAGTACAGATGGTCAAAACAACAGGGCTTGAAAATCTAATGAATGTTGTACTATAAATAAGTCTATAGAGAATATTTAATAAGAAAAGCCTTTGCTTTTGATATGTCAAACTGAGGACATAATGGTTCATATACCCAGACAATGCATCTCCAGGATTTTCCCCAAACTCAGATTTTTTACAAAAATTTGCAGTTTTTTTTCCTATATCAACTGCTTGCCTCATGTCACCTATCTGTGAAATAATCTACTACAGTTGTCTATACTACCTACTAAATTATGGAAATATGAAAAGAAAGTAATATTGAATCTTAAACAAGGCATATTTACAACTACCTCTCCCCCCCCAAAAAAAAAAAAAAAAGGTCTAGTTATATAACACTGGACAGAGGGGCATCATGCTATATTCCTATCTTGCATTGCAAATCAGCTCCAGTCCTGTTCCACTTTGGGTTCAGCCAGGCTACTCACAATTACAGAACAATGCAATCTGCTTGCAACGCTTTACAGACCTTTCTACTGGCCAGAAAGGAGACAGCTGGAAATATCTCAGCAGCTCTGATAGTATCAACATCTTCCCTTGAAACAGAGGTACATCTTCCTACACCTGTGACTGCAACCCGCTTTAGGTTTTCAAGTACATTGTTACAACTGTTACAATTATAGTCTACTTAAGTATAGAAACTCAAAAGGAATACACCAGGTCTCTCCATACCCTACCAAATAGCTCAATAAGGTTAGCATAAATTTGTTTTTTTGTGATTTACGATCCACTGATGTAAATATTGTTGTTTTTTTTTAAAAAGACTAGTAGATGCATGCACTTTTGCAAGCTATAAACGCTTTACTGATTATTCTTGTTAAAGACAATTTAGATATCAATTGATCAAAAAAGGTCAAAATACTTCATTTAAAACTAAAGCACATCTTCTAAAATGCACCTCCTCTGTAAAGACATCAAAAAATAGCAATTCACAGCTTCTTGCAGTACATTAGCTGAAACACATGCCTGATTTATTGAAAGTATTATTTTTTATTTAAGAAATTTGAAAAAGCTTTCCCTTTCCCTTCTGAGTAAAAACAGTTGTTGAGTCTCAAGTCACCTAGACTTTCTTCTTTTATTAGCCTGAACTAATTCTCCCCAGAAAAAAAATGGAAAGAAAAACAGAAGCAGCAAAAACCAACATCTAAACTGCCATACTGTAAGTTGTTGGGTTTTTGTTTTTGTTTTGCTTTTTCCCCTGCAACCCTAGGAAGTTATTTAGGCTCCATTCTATATTTTCTCAACTGTTTCTACATCTTTTCTAAAAGCCAGGAAGAAGAGAATGAAAAGATTTATTACTGTTCTCACTTACACAGATGATACTTATATTTACAGATGATACTTACTATCATCTCTATTCTTAACTATTTTTAACATGGTGTTTGTGTGTTCAAGGATCACAACTTACTCCTTTCTCTTTCTTAAAAGTGCTACAGTGTAAGTCGATTTTTAGTCCAATATATTCCAAAATCTCTTTTGGAGCCAGTGCCGTCGAAGATGGTCCTCTGTGCTATTAGTATATTTAGTATTCTCTGTTACCAGATGCATGACTTTGCATATCTATCCACTCAGATCATTCGATGTTTGCAAAGGGCCAGTTTTCTAAGTAATCATGATTGCTTATCTGAATACTTTATATGTGTTACTACTTACTACCACAAATAAAATTTCAATCAGTAGCTTTTGTTTTCCTATTAAAAAATATTCCCAAAGAATATACAAATACCACTCGTGATCCAGCCCATGCAGCATATACGTAACACTCCCCTGAAAACCTGCCGAGATGCATAAGACTACAAACAAGCAAGAGGTATTCTTCTATCATATTGAATGTCTATTTCACGCAGCATTCTTTAACAACAAGCAAAAAGACTCATACAGAAAGATAGCTTGATTCAAACTGAACCACAGAGTCATGACAGTGCAGAAATGGCATGATATCAATGCAAGCACAGTCCATCAAAAAGCTAAAACTACACCCATAAGGCAAAAAAACATGCACTTTAAATAAGCACATCCTACACTCCCTTTGAAACATCCACGTAAACGTGGTTATTACTCAAGGACCACATCAGCCTGCACCCCTACAAACAGCGACTGCGTGGGGGAGGCGGCTGCTTCGGAGAGCCCCGTAGCGGCAAGAGAGCCCGGGGGTCCCGCGGAGCGACACTCGGACGAGTCCTCGCCGGCCCGGGCCCGCCACCCCTCCACGGCCCCCGCCCCAGCGGGAACCCAGCGGAATGGGGGCGGGGGAACCCGGCCCGGCGGCGCCGCGCGGCGCCTCGCTCACCTTGTCCGAGTCGAGGTCGGGGTCGGCCTGGCAGAGGCGGAACAGGAAGGACTTGGGGTCCCTACAGAGCGTCTGCCGAGTGGTCAAGAAGCAGGTGCCCCCCACGTTGAGCCGCACCCACTTGCCGGGCACGGCGCCGGGGGGCGGCGGCTACGCGTCCCCACACGCACCTCCCACCGGAAGCGTCCCTCAGGGAATCGTTCCCTCTTCCCCCGCCACGGCCCCCCGCGGCCCCCGCCCCGGAAGCTGCGCCCCACGGCGGCCCCCGCTCGTGCCGCCCCGCGCGTTGTAAGGAGGAGGCGGAGGCGGCCGGACCCTACATGCCTTTATTACAGACTACCGAGCAGAAGTGAAATCCATCATCCAGGCACTAGCTACACATCTACAGCACAGAGAGCTGTCGAAAGGAGGATAAACAGTCATTAAATTATGAGATATGATTAACTCATCGACCAATAGAAAATTTATAATAAAGCCAGAAAAAGGTGTAAAATATAGTTTACAATAATTATTCACATTCAAGGCTGTACATCAATACATACAACACTATGGCCCCAAACATGAATTCAATCCAAATAATTCATATATTAGAATTTAAATAACACAGACTGCTAGAGGCCAACAGGAGCCAGCAAATAACCTTATAAGAATAAAAATACAAAAGTGTGCATCTTACCCTTGCATTATTTGTTTCCATTTTCATAGGTCCTGGAGGTTGGTAAGTTTTGCAGGTGGGGGTTATTTTGGGAGGTTTTATTTTTATTTTATTTTCTAAACACTTTACCTGTACATCACAGTTACAGCTACAAACCAGATAAGAGTATTATACACAACTGACTGTCACCAACCTGAAAAAAAAAGCTAGCATACAACTATCAAAATGGATTTTTTTTTTGTCAGATACAGCAATTGTTAGTTCTGCCACCCTCTAGAACATTTGCCACATCCAATCAGAGTTAGTACATGGTCAGAAGAAGGTTGTCAAGTGATAACCATCCAAATTCACTGTCTAGGTTACTAGTCTAGGTTACTGGGTGCTTAACGTTACCCTTTTCACTGTAAAAGTCATAGCTCTAATACAGAGAAAATTAATTCCTATATTAATCACAGTCCTCATCTTAACTGAGACCTTTGGGCCACAGAATGCCTTGCTGCAAACTCACTTGATCAGCAGATGGGCCATAATGTGTGTCATGAAGTTTTGGAAGAACAATTCTTTTTGATTAATAGAACACTTGCCTAAAATACTACAGACATTCACCAAAAATTCAGATATAAATACCACACCTATTTGTATAATTTCCCTGTAGAACAAATAATCAGAATCTGCAGACCACATCTTTAAGCAGCTATTAATACAGAAGTTCTTCCCATAGATGAGGTGTTCAAATCAAGTGTCAGACCAAAGAAAACAGTTCTTTTGCTTTCTTTAGAAAGTTTTACTAAATCATTCAGAAGAAACAGTTTAATTTATGTGTGGTAAATTCCTAAGATTCTTTAAAGCTCTCAGTACAAAATTTAGTGATGTCAAGCATATTCATTAAGTGCGTTGAAAAAGGAGTAGATGCATTTTTTTTTTCTCCTTCAGTTTACTGAGGTTCTTCTAGGATTATATATAACAAATACCCTTTGCAGTTAAATCATGGTAGGAGGAGATAAAGTTTTAGGAGCGCACTACTACTTGAGAGGTTACTGTGTCTTCAGCATTTACCCCTTTGCAAATGGAATTGCAGCAGCCCAGGTGGCATTTAGTCTGCTCACAACGCTTTTGCATCACATCTGAAGTTGAAAGAGGTACAAAAATAAGTCTTCTTTAAAATATGTCCTGCTCAAAACTGGACGTTAAGGCCCATGACAATAAAGTAATTTCTTCATTTTTTCAAAGAATTTTTAGCATTTCCTTGACTGGGCTAGAAACTGAACAGTATGGCTCCAAACTCCTTTCAAATAATAGTACTTTAGTCTATTAGTTGGAACTTAGAGACAACTAACACAACAACCAATTTCCTGAATTTTGCATCCAAACAAAACATGAGTCACATCATCAACGACCAGAATCTTTACAAATGATAGATACATGCTCAAATTGCAACAAACGGAATTATCAGACTTTAACAGATTTGCAGTGAGGAGCCTGAAGTGTCTTTCAGTGACTAATAACCCTTCTCTGCTCTGAAAGGCCACAAACCACAAGCAAAGAGATTAACCAGTTTGCAGCTTTGAAGATTTTGATTTCATGAACTCCCATGAATCACTGGAGTAGTCTTCAAGGCAATGTTTTGAAAGTACCCCATCCTTCAAGTATACACATCTAAACTAGGAACTTGACCTTCACAGAATGCAGCACCTTCCAGTAGACATTTAAGTGAGCAAACTGAAAACCTACTTAAATTCTTTTTTTTTTTTTGTCTTGCCTTACCCTACCCCCCCCCCCCCCCCCCCCCCCCCCCCCCCCCCCCAAAAAAAAAAGCAGCAGTTAAGGAAGACTCAAATTGAAACATTTAAGTTCTCAGGGGAAGGATGCCAGTAAGTGAGATCCACAATGATATTGTCCAAACCTCTTTCCCCACCCCACTAAAAAAAATCCCAAACCAAACATGCACACACACCATAAAAACCCACACCCACTAGAATACAGACATCAATTTCAACTTCTGCAGCTTACTGCTGTGAAGATTTCTTTGGCTGAAAGTTTTTAGGGGCAGGTAGGGACAAGGAACAGCTAAACAGAGGATTTTCCAGTGTGAAAAGAAAAAGGAAGTATTTTTTTTATGGCAAGATGACTTCACATCTAAATGTTACAAACACATGTTCTATAATTCCACCTATTTAGCTGAAGTGAGCAGGCCAATAGAGATCACTTTGGCTCCTCCTGAAGCTAAGGAATTCACTGTTAGCAGAACTTTGCCAGAGATTTTTGAAAGCAATGTTTTGGCACCCTGAAGAGCTGCTGTAGCATCATGAAGCTCATCTCTGCTAGACTTTCTGGTATGAAGCTGGGAACATCTCTACATCTCTATAACAAAGGCTAAATCCAGATATGTAGAATTCCCTCTAGTGAATCTACTTATGGATAGAATTCAACAGCTACAGAGTAAAGGGTAATTGGGTAATACCACAACAAATTCAGAATGCACATCACCTTGGTTATGACAACTAACTTTAATAAAAGGTGTACTGCGCTATTCAGATTTCACTGACACGGAGTCTGCCTTCTATGTAGTGAAGTTTCTTATGATAGAAAGTGAATGGTCTGTTTTCCTCATCTCAGTCACTTTCAAGACACCTTAGCTCCACTAACAGTGGGCACTGTAAACTAGTGATTGACTTTTCTCAAGCCTGTGTATATGGTAGGATAATATAACAGATGACTGCAAGAACATATTTTTCTCTAAAGAGAAAAAGCAATTGCACTCTCCTTTAAAGACTGGAAGAGACTAAGAACTGAACTGTCATCAAATTTAACCACACAACACCATTTTGTTTAAAATCCACAATAAATCTCCCTCTCCCAGCACAAGTAAATCCATCATTCATGCATCTTCTGAGACACCCCGAAAAGCCACAAAATAGCCCATTAGTTTTCTTAATGTTACAGTAGAACTTTTTTTTTTTCTTTTTTCCCTCCTTTGGTGGAAGGAAAAACACTTTATAACAGACCTCAAGAGGCACGCAGATGGTATTTGCACAAGGTTAATTAATAGGTGTGATGTTTATACTGCATTTAAAACAAGGAAGGAATGCCTTTGCCCATACCTAGGTCATCCCTCTCCGCAACGTTCACAAACATGAGTGTGTTGAAAATGCCATTAGGGAAGTAATTTTAGCATGTAGAAAGTTATGCCTTTCCTACATTCTAAGAAACGTGTGACCACACACACACAGAAAAATCTTAATTTGAAAAGGATAAAGGAGACTGATATGAAAAATATTTTCATTTTATAGATATGCCTTAAGTACCATACATTTTTCCCTTTGTATCAACATTTTCATTTGAATCCCATCCAGATTACTGTATGGATCTAATATTTAAACTGTTTTAAACTTTTTTCAGAGTTGCTAAAAGGTCTGAAGTATTTTCCCAAAGAACAAAAATAGGATTATTTGTACATCTCATTATACAAAGAGACAAAAATCATTGTACAAAGTTTTCATACTTCCTTCTCTACCCAGGTAAATATGTTGGCCCCACTAAAATGCACAATACATACACACCCTGGAAAGAAAGCTCCTAGTCCTCATCTTCTGAAAAGGTGAAAAACTATTTACTACTTCAATAGTAACTTTTTTTTTTTTAAATAACAACTGGTTAATTTTTTATTTAGCATTAGTTAAAAGCATGCTGCTAAGTTTGTTGTCCCTTGATTAAACACACATATGCAAATTAAAATTTAAAGTTTTAAACTTTATATGCTTCAGAAGCCAACATTTCAATTTTAGAAAAACTTTCAGTGCCAAGTTCATCATTTTACTTTCTCACAACCTTTATCATCAGAGTCTGTCTGCCAGGCACATACATCTGATTCATTCACATAATTATTAAAGTACCACGTAAATCCTGCAACCAGAACTTTATCAGGAGTTATGCAAGGGTGCAACTGACCTGGCTACAAGTGCCATATACCAGTAAGCTGGGGAACAGCAGGGAACAGAAGAGAAAATGAAGAGGTGGTGCTTAGGAGAGGCATATAAAAGCTCCCTGATGAAATACAGTTTAATGATAATTTGAAAGTCACAGAAAACACCAGCCCATAAAATGGAAGGCTGGTACATGATTTGGGGTGTGTGCGTGTGGATTGGTTTTAACTGATCTTAAGTGAAGCTGGTAATGCAATGTCTATCCACTAGTTTGCAGCAGAAATTGAGCTGAAGTGCACAAAAGCAAGATCTTCATTGCAATGATATGCATGTGGAAGCCTCAACAGAAGCATAAAGAGCAAGCAAAGCAACCCTGAATTCCATTAGGTTTTTGCTTTCTTTAAAAAAAAAAAAAAAAAAAAACACAGAACAGAGTATTTCAGACATATGCTTCCCCTTGAGATGGGTAATAGGTGGGTTGGGAAGATTCCTCTGATCGGCTGCACGTGGAGTTCTAGCAGCAAGTAGGGAGACTGGGAAATTTTGGATGAGCTTTACTATTTAGCAGCATTCTGGTGGTATCTGTGCCGCCAAACTTCATGTATCTTTTTGCACCATTTATGAGCATTCCCACTCGGGTCCATCAGGTAATATGTCCTGTTTGGCTACAAGTGAACAACATTTCAATGAGTATTCCAAACACAGTTAAACCAAAAAGCAGCAAGTATTCTGCATCCACCAATGAGTATTTAGAAACAGAATTCAGAATCTTTTCAAAGGTTAAATGTAATTAAAATCATAAAACAGTATATATTAGTGAGATACAGAGTCAAAAAGTTTTCAAATTGAAATATATTGTTGGCATACTTTTTGTGTAGAGTTGTGATCCACTCTATATAAAAAAGGCTATATTTCAAGAGTCATTCTTAAGAACTTTTCAGATCACAAAATCCATTTGAAACACTTAAATAAAATGTAAAACTTATTTCACGGAAAAATGTTTGCTCTCTTTCTTTTTTTAATTATCAAGACTAGTAACCTACAGTCAAAGTAATCCTGCAATTAATACCTGTATTCAAGGAATTAAAACTTCCCTTAGTAAAAGAAAATTTCCTTTTTTTTAATTAAAAAAAAATTAATTAAAGAAAAAAAAAAAAGAACTCACAAGAGTTTTCCAAGAATCTTAATGTAACCCAAAAAAATAATAGCCACTTACCGTGTGAACAAAAAAAGTCTTAAAATTCTTGGCTTCTGGGCGCAACTCTAAAGACCATGGAATTTCTCCTTTTAGGACTTTGTTGACAGGATCCACATAATATAGATGGGGCCCTTCTGTGAGCAGCAATTGGCGACGACGTGCAAACAATCCCTAATGAGGAAAATAACAGCAACACAAAATGCATAGAATTAAAGAATAAAACTACTTTAAAAGAACAAATATGTTATTTTACAGTCCGTGGGGTATCTGCATTTATACTGAAACTCCTAAAA